TCAATGAGGATACTTAATAATATTATACTATTTTTATTATAAACAGATATTTTTCCATTTGTTATTACTTATTGTTATTCACTAGTATTCGAGCAGATAAATTCAATAAGAAAAAGGTGGGCAAGTGGGTGTCGCTCTGCTGTACAGTAGGTTACAAGTGGGTCACTGTATAATGGATGGTATAACATTTGAACTCAATGATATTATATCATTGTAGAAGAAAAACGATTCTGAGCGGAGACGGTAAGTCCTTCTAGGTATAAGAAATATTTTATACTTATCTATGTTATTAAAAAAAATTGACCTATAATGAATTCCAAATTAATCATATCACAATATCCATTAGGTACTTATATCGCGTTATACATCAACAACAAACCCTGATACTATCATAGATATATAATAGTATACTTTAGAAGTTTCAAGTACCCACGAATAACATTATTCAATCACAATAAAGTAACTAAAATAGTTATTCTAGGTTTTTTAATATGTAATTTCGTCCAAATTTGAATTTAAAATGTTTGTAAAAAATAATTGTGTTCATATATTTTTTAGATTTTTTGGTTACAGTATGAACTATTTATGAGAACCTTTGTTTTAAATTTGCAATCCTTAGCTATAAAAACTGAACATTTTATAATTTATTAATTACAATGATTGATAATTTTGATAAATTTTGTCAAAATTTGATCTTTAAATGCTTATAAAAAAAAATTGTGCCAATGTATTTTTAATATTTTTCAATTGCTATTGTAACAATATAATATCAGGCGCCTTGTATTAAATTTTTATAATTTGAATAAATTAACTAACGATAAACGAGTCAACAAACCTTTTGCTGTGGTTTTAAGGTGCACCCAAAATCGTCTGAAGATACAGTTCTTTTGGCCGGTAGACACGCTGTACCGAACCTGGAATAGAAATGATCATTGGCAGGTACGGGGATGGGGAAACAATTGGGATGGGGAGTTTCGATAGGCAACAGTTTACCGTTGCTGGCACAACAATCGGGAGCTGAAAAATGAAACATAACATATTGTTAGTTAAAAGTACAACTGTTTCGGACAATTTCTTATGAAAAATAAGTGAGTATAGTTTTCTTTTTGTAATACACTTGGGCGAGTCAACGGCGTCAACCAATATGGCAATATCAATAATCTAATATAATATACTATATAGTGCGGATACTCAGATTATGTTCGAGTTTACCTTGTATCTGTAAACATAATGTATAGGGCACCTACCTACATTATAATATCCACGCTGAATAGTAAAATAATAATTTCTAATTTAATATGAAAAATAGCGTTGGATTTAGAAAGAATTAACCCTCGAGGCACGCAATGTTATGTACACAGGACATATGGTGACATGAATTATAATTTATCTGTTTTAATTTTTTACTTTCCAAATCAACAATAACAGGAAGAAAACATTTCGTGACTACTATAGGTAGGTACATGCGTATGACCAGCAACAATTATTACATTCATTTATAATTTATATACAACTTGTATTTACAACGTAACACATTGTCAAAAGGTTTCTACACTAAGGAAAAAAATTGTACAGTTAAAAGCATTCGAAATTTTTTTTTATTTTATATAAAATATTACTTATACCTACATTAAAATTAGCTTGTCAGAAATATTTTCAATACATTTTAAAATAATAATGCGAATGATTAATGTTATAATTTTTATTTATTTATTTATTTCATCCAATAAAAAATATAATTCAAGTCAAAATAATTTAATATTACACTATTAAATTCATTGTTTAATCTCCATATTATACTTTTCATAACATTAATTATACTTGTTTGATCTATACAAATTATTTCAATTAATAATAAATTTTAAGAATGATTTATTTTTCTCCAGTAAAAAGATATTTTAATTACAAAGGCGGTAGGATACTATCACCAATACCTACTAAATTATATACAAAATAAATAAAATTGTTTTTGTAATATACATAAATATATTTTTAAAGTTATTATTAGGTAAGGAAAATATAAAAAAAACATTATTCGATTCTCGACGGTATGTCCTTCTAGGTATAAGACATATTTTATACTTATCTATGGTATTAAAAAAAAAATTGACCTATAATAAATTCCAAATTAATCATATCACATTATCACAATATCAATTAGGTATTTATATCACGTTATACATCAACATCAATAACAAACCCTGATACTATCATAGATATATAATAGTACACTTTAGAAGTTTCAAGTAGGTGCCCACGACAAAATAACTAGGTTTTTTAATATGTAATTTCGTCCAAATTTGAACATAAAATGACTATAAAAATAAACTGTGATTGTATATTTTTTAGATTTTTTGGTAAGAGAATTAAATACTTACGTGGAATCTTGTTTTAAATTTTCAATCCTCAGCTATAAAAACTGAACATTTTATAATTTATTAATTACGATGATTAATAATTTTCGAGATTTTGAAAAATTCTGTCAAAATTCGATGTTAAATGCTTATAAAAAAATATTGTGCCTATGTATTTTAAATATTTTTCAACTGATATTGTAACAATATATCAGGAGCCTTGTCTTAAATTTTTACACTTTTTGGCCCAATAGATAAAACTTTATTGATATTCATAGAAAATAAAACTAAAAAAATTGAAAAATGGAAATATCCGTAAACAGCTCAAAAAGAGTCAAAATATTTTCAAAATTTTATGGTGTATAGGAAATGCTAATATAAACATTCAGTGATGTTTTCATGTATCTATAGTTATTCGTTTATGAATAACAACAAAATAAGGAAATCGCTACATGAGAAATCGAGTGAACATCCAATGTTGTAAAAATTTGAATTTCAAACGCTCATAAAAATTTAATTTTACTGTCCGGTAGAGATTTTTTTATTGATAAATTTAGAAAAACTTATGAGTAATCTTGTATTACATTTTCAAATCTTAGATTTAAAAAGAAAAATTTTTACGAATTCTTAACTCAAAATAATTTGCTAAATTTCGTGATTTTTCCCTATTTTGTCAATTTTTGAACTTTAAATGCTTATAAAAAAAAATTGTGACTAAGGATTTTTAATATTTTTCATCTGCCTTTGAAACAATATACTAGGTGCTGCTGCTGCTGACGTCGACAAAGGTACGGATTTAAATGCCACTGGTTGCAATACAACGGACTGCTACTGTAAAGATAGCCTTCCATGGTAAGTCTTCGGCCGGAACTGTTATTTTCAACGGTACTCTTCGTATTGGTTCAAGATTCTTAGTTTTCTGTTGATGTGTATGTTACAAGAGTTGAAATATGGAGTCATTGATCGCTTTGCTTTGCTTGGAATAACAACCATAGGTCTTTGACTATACCAGGCTGTTGCCTTTGCAAGTGGTGGAGATGGTATTTATTAAAGCAACGTATAGGATTTGTGTGGTACACTTAATGGGACTAGACCAAGCAGCTCCAGAGTATGTCAAGATAGGGATGATGTAACTACATCTTTAGAAGATTGATGCGAGTTCTGGCTGGTACTGGACCATGACTGTTTAGGATTGGAAAAAGGATGCCACGGGTCATTGATCGGGTGAAATGCACCTGTATTTAAACTAAATGTATCTATATTATGTGCGATTGCTGTGATTGGTGAGTTTCACCCCTTTTTTTGCCACTTAAGAATCACATACACTTCGATGTATTTCATAGTAAGTTGTTAATTGTGATTCTCGCTCGTCAATCTGCATTTCTCTGTGTCATGGTATTTCTGGGTTTTCTAGTTTACTGTACTCCGTTACAAAATGTTCAAGTGTAAATGACTATTAATGACTAACAATTATTGTTTGTAATCACATTTTATGGTTACATTTTTCAGTTTGTAAAACTTTGTAAGTTGCCTTGTCGCCGTTGTTTAAATTAATAATTAGGATGAATCGATCGGCACTAGTGCCTATAGGAGTAATGAGCATAATAAGCTCAGACCCCCCCCCCTCCCCCCCATTACCCAAATTGCCGGTTATGCTGGTCTAGAAAGAATGTTATTATTTTCTGATTTGATTGAAAAATACAAAAACACTGTATCGGATAAACTGAAAAACAATCAACTACCTAGTTCATTCAATTAAAAATACACAAATCAATCACCGAAATGTGATTGTCCTCAATAATTATTGTAGTATCTTACATTTAGTCTATATTTAAAATGTATTATGAATTATGATTATGTACAATCATAATAATATTACAACGAGAATTCATAGAAAAATGATTCAGTCAAGAATTAAAATTTGACTTTTAAAATTGATGGTTCGAAATATCATTTAGTGTAACAGGATAAGGGCGTAGTTTTACTTTAACTCAAGTCATTTACTTTAAGTCTTCGAAAATGTAATGAAAATGTAATGCATTATAGTCTTATAGATATCAATATCCCGCCTCTGTTAATGCTTATACCATACCTATGTATATCTTATTAGTTGTAAATCTGTATATATCAAACTTTGTTTTTCAAAAGGGCTAGACCCGTAAATATAAATAAATAAATAAATATAGATAATTAAGCCTTAAAGTGTATGCAACAATCACTACCATAACAGAATTCGGATGATAAAATAAAACGATAATAATATTAGAATGAAATTTATAACATACATACAGATTATTTTAAAGTGGAATCTCGAGTGTACATATAAAGTATTTCAAAAATAATGTTCAGTACTTAATTGATTGAATACCAATAACAAACACACCTTCTAGATTACAGAATTGAAGTGTTCATCACTCTCTATAAGGCTTTTTTTATTTTAGAGATAACCTTACGCAGAAAATTCCATTAAGAATATTTTAGTGGACTTATCGTTCTTAGTGGGACTTTAAATAGAGAGCTGTGAATTCGAAACCAATCCACTTGCAATCACCGTACTGTCGAACATCGTTGTACCGTACGTGGTATAATCGACTCTTATTATTCGTCTGTCTTACTTGAAAGTCAGGACACTAATAAAAAACCGAAATGAATTCCTTTGTATTCATCACACTGGTGACATTGTCGGTGGTTCTATCGAGCTCGGCCTACTACTACGGGGTTTCGCCGATTACTCTGTGCATGAAGAGCGACTACTCGTGGTGCACCAACGTGTCATATCCCAACAGCTGCGTCAACATGGACACGGTGATCATGACCAGGACTGGGATGATCAACAGCACTGGACACGACATCTCAAACGGTACCGTGACCGCTTTCAAGACCATCGAGTCAGTGATAGTGAGGGACGCCGACAGCATCGAGGACAAGTGCATCGTGTTGTACCACACTTACAACTGCCAGGGCCACAGCCTGGTTCTCAACGGTTCCAAGCACCCCGCGGCCAATCTCTACGACTTAAACTTCTCTAACATGGCGGAGTCTTACAGACCGTGCACCGAAAAGTCGCTCTCGTGGCTCCGGGACAACAAATAGGTTAACGGTATAACGGCGACGGCAACTCCAACAAACCTATGTCATGCCTATGATTAGAGGTATAATAATAAATATTATAGACACACGTCTTAGTTTAACTAAATGTATAACTATATTTATCATCAGATATATTGATAATTAATGTAAACAATTTCTTATTTTATATAATTAAATCAATTATAAATTATAATAAAGTGTATTATAATCTAAAAAAGTCCACTTAATATTATGTTGTGTATTTTATTTATTTTATTATATTTATTCAATATAATGTTTCTATAAATGTGCAATGGAGTGTTTATTATAACTGCGTAGGTAATAGAGTGTGTAACGTTGACTCTCGATCAGTTTTTCAGTAGCCCCACAGACGAATTGAAGACTACGTAGTCTGCTGAAGATTTGAGAAATTTATATTTTTCGGATGCACCTTGAATGTTCTTACTGTGGTTTATGTAAAATAAAAGTGGGATGACCTATTTGTGTCTTAGCTGTACTTCACAACCTGTAGAAGAGTCCATGGTTCAAACCATTGGTGAGTTACTAGGTGTATATGATATCAGTGACATCAACTTTTTACAGGGTTGTGACTTGTAAACTGCATAAAATACGAATATTAAAAAAAATGTATTACGCCACTTTATGAGCTATATTATATTCACAACTCTAAATACGAATTTTGTTGAATGATTTTTAAAAATATTTTGAAATATAAAACCTACGGGTTTCAAGGTAATATTAAAATAACAATCAAACAGTTATTACAAATTTACCCGTCAAAAACAGTGTTAGTCCAATTACCTACTTTATTAGTTTGTGTTATATAGTGTAGACTGTAGATTTATTTTATTTTATTACAGAGACTTATTGCATTTTGTATACCTATTGTTTTAGTGGGTTGTAGAATAATCTATATATGGTATAAATTTGTTTATCTAATGGTGAAATCAAATGCATAGTTGTCCCTTTCATATTTATGAAAATTGCATTATATTTTACAAAATGGCAAATTTCATAAATTTAAACCACTTTTAACGACAAAATTATAATTATTAGTGCATAATATTTATTATATTTTTCTATTTTTATCATTTTCATAGGTATACAAACCGATTGAAGCTCTGTCTTTCTATAATACAATTGTTTTAATATTGTTTTAAATTTTTAACTATACTAAACTCTGAAATTTAAATTCAAATATCAATATAAATATATTATCAATAGGTTTTTGTTTAAGAATGCATTAGGGAACTAGGCATTTAACATTATCAGCGTGTAGAAAGTTTTCGACCGTTGGAAAACGGCAGAACACTTTTTGATCAATTCTAAACATTAAATTCAACCTTATTTCGTACATGATTGTCTGACAAGAGCTTATTAGTCCCACAATATTCAAGATCAGGTGTTTATTGTAGAACGAAATTTGTAGCTTAGAATGTAAGCTAAGTTTACACTTCGCTTTCGACATATTATAATATATTAATTAGTTCTATTGATCAACGATTGGAGTCGGCAACAAAACATACCAATCAACTATCGAATAGTGATAGTCCTCAATCATTATTATAATATGTAACATAGGGCATTTATCTAACATGTATTTTGTTTATACTTATACGATTTAAATGAAATAATTACAATGATAATGTCTTTTATATTTCAATAAAAAAATTCAAGTATGTATCATAATTCATAACAAATTCATAGATAAAATTATTTAGTCATGATTTAAAATTTGTTTTATAATAATGGATCTAAAAACCTTTTAGTGTAATAGGATAAGTTTAAATTAATAGTTTTACATCAACACTAAATTTATCAAATATTAGGATGAGTATCATTAGATATTGGTGATGGCGTGGGGTCTAAATAATATTCGTTTGAAAAACCGCATATTATACAGATTACAGGTTATTGTTAAGTGGAATTTTAAGTGCCCATACAAGGAATTTTGAAGTACCTAACTGATTGACAATTTAATACAAAGACGTAATATACGTTACTTAGTTGAAGTGTTTGAAACAGTGGGAAATTGTAATATGCTTACACATCATTATAACAAGTAAACTAAAGTGTAACAGATAATTAAATAACTGCCAGATTGTACCATGGTACCATTCTACCATGTAGAAATCAGACACCCCCATGCCCCGTTAACACCTTCGAAAAGGAACTATCCGTAATATGAGATCACGAATTAATAAATTAACATGTATTTGTAACGGTAGGTAATAATATGTAAGGTGTGTGGTTTCTTATATGCCACCAAACAAACGGAATGGTCGAAAGGGGTATTTTCCATCGAAAAGAAAACTATAGTTCTTGGAAGATCCAACCCCTTTGATAAAGCCGCCTTCCACTCTCTGGTCAGCATAGCTAGTGCATGCTCACCAGTCATGTCATTATTACAACCTCTCAAAACAAAATCCTGTGTGTGACAACTGAGCCTCTTTTAACAAGAAGTAATCAATTGTTTAATTTTATGGATTCACGTATTTTCAGTAATTGCTTTTTGTCACCTAATGGCTAATTCTCCTGCAGCCTTTTGTCGGTACCAAAATGCATTAAATAATAATTTTTTACTGTCGTTACTTGAGTCACGTCTTTAAGTGGGGTTACCGCACACGTATCTTTTTATAGTAATGTTATTATAGCAATAATGATAATTCTTTAACGTTACAGGGCACGCCATCTTTTGCGTCATAATTGCCAAAATTTAGTTTTACAATACAGCCAGTCTAAAATATAATAATTAGCGTACAAATATCAAGTACCCTTGAATAATATTTTTACCTACAAAAAATTTGAAAATTCTAAGAGCCTGTAAAATGTAAATAGCATACATTGAGCTTAAATATTCTGAAAAATGCATTGATTAAAGAATATGGTAATTTAACTAACGGGGGGATTTTTCATGTCTCTAAAAATAAAATTTTTTGAATAACAACGAAAAAACTAAAACCGTTATAATACGCGTGAATATACAATTTCGTCAAGATTTAAACTTTAGACGCTCATACAATATATTATATTTTGTGGAATTACGATCGACTTTTTTTAAATCCAGTAGTTATAACCTATGGGGAACCTCGTATTCAATTATCGAGCTTTTTGATAAAGCGAAAAATATTTTTTTAACATCTATATAGAAAACAATCTTAAAATGTCTATAAATAGCTTATTAAGAGTAGAATTATTGAGACAACTTCGTCAGCACTTCATTGGCGATAAAAAATGCACATAAGATTCAACCTTTGTAATAACTATTAAAAATGTTGTCCGGCTACAACTAGTCCAGTGAGAATAGTCGCCACGACTTAATTATCTAGCAGATCTTTTGCTAAAAATCTCGCACCACTACATAAACTAGAATGACTTGCGCTTTTGAATAGTGTTTGATGGATAAACCAATCTTTAACGTTAGGTCGTATGGTGGAAGTCCAGAAAGATTTAATGAAAAATTAACGAATATAAAATACAGTCCTATATAGATGTATCTTGATTTTAGTGTACGTAAGTTCTATAGAAAATCGGCGTCTGTGTACATTTTGCTTTGTGAAATGATTCGACCCAAATGGGCATACTCAAGTAGCTGTTGGATTTAGAACTAATATTTTACGTGGCTCAAAATACTCTCTAAATTTGTGAAAATATTTCTAAGAACAATCTATGACATTAAGAAGAATCAGTTGAATATATGTTTAGTACGACGAGTACAAACAAGCTACAAATATACATTTGGTTTTAAGATATCGTTTTATTGACCGAGGCTTTATAAACGCAAAGATTTTATGCATGATTTCACTTCATCAACCAGAGTAACCAATGGCAACCATTTATAAATGAAAAACAAATTTTTGATTTCCACCTCGAATCTCGAAATAATTTTATGAGTACCAAAATAGTGTAAATTTAACAAAATTAAATATAGCTTATATTTTACACGAATAATGTACCTTCTACTACTAATCGCCTTACACATAATTATAATATTAAGAATCGTCTTGCCATAAACAACGGACCATGGGAAAGAAAAAAGTTATTATTAACAAGTATATAACATTTTATCATATAGATCTAAGATGGCAAAAATAACAACCGCAGAGAAATGCTACTTGAGGGTATAATATACCACAGTGGAAAAGTCCTTCGGCTTAGTATATCTTAATAGTCTAATTTGGAACCATGACGAGACTAAATACTCTATTAACGGAACCCCACATTGATCACAGAACAGCCCAGCTAGATGATATTGTAATACGCGTGTATAGCTACAAACATAGATACAAATCCATGGCCACACATGTAGGATCGTGGGTAGCAATAATATTAATTCGAGGCATCGTCCACCACGGACCGTGGGAGGTGCAGTGGGTACTTACCGTAAGGGACAAGAGAAGTAGAGGAATAGACTTATAAAGGAGAACCCTGAACGGCCCATTACAAAGCTAGTGGAGCACCCCTACGCTCGACTATCGTTTAAATTAATTATTAGGACTTAGAATATTTCGTTCAGCAATATTTTAGACTTAGAAAATAAACGAGTTAAATAGTATATTTTCTAAACAATTATTCGTTGATACGAATATAATATATATTATATACTCTTTGAAATTTTAATTTAATTTTAACGTCACTTGTGCTGCACTGCTGCAGGTATGCAGCATTATGATGTACAGTGAAAAAACTATGAAGTGTTTACAGTGGAGTAATTTGGGCATGTTTGTGGGGGGGGGGGAGTAGAGCTTGAATATTTACTATTTACTTTTCGGTGTAGTCTGACCATCGGGTTATTTGTCAACGTTCATATAAATATTATTACTTTATTAATAACAGCATCGATCGAATTGGAGATATTATAATTTATTATTATTATTATTAAAACCAGTAGCAACCCTATATAAAAAAAAAATTCTTAAAATCCCTGTTTGAGAACCTCCCCGGGTTGGACCTCTTATTTACCTTTTTCGTGACAAAATGTAGCCGATGTCTCTGATTCTCTCCCGATGTCTAGTCTATCTCTATTGCATTTGAATGAACGGTTTAGGAATCCATAAAGAACAGTCGGACGCAAATATTTTTTTCTTTTATATAATATAAGTTATACACTTTATATTGTAGGTTATGATTATATAGGATCATAATATTACAATAAGAATATATTTTATTTTTCGCAAAAATAAATAAAATTCAATAACTAAACCGGTATAGAAAAATTACTGCTTTAATAATCAAAATTTGGTAATCGCAATGATCTATCGAAGTACCTTTTAGTGTAATAGGTTAAGTTTAGTATAAATACTTAGTTTCACTTTAGATCCTCAGACATCGATTCAGAGGAGTTAAAGAAATCGTTAGATCATCAGGAAATTAAAGTGTATGCAACAGTCGCGTATATAGTGGGATTCGGAAGCGTTTGGAATGAAGTGGAACGATAATAATGTTAGTATAAAATTAATAACGCACATACAAATTAGTAATTATTGTTCGGTGGAATCTCAAGTGTCTATTACGTTACAAGGAATTTTGAAAACAACTCAATAATTAATTGAATATTTAAAACAAAAACGTAGCCTACTTTACTAAGTTGAAGTATTTGTCACTCTCTATTCAACGTTATCTATTAAAAATTAGAGATACGGAATGTTCAATTACGGTTAATTTCCTCTTCATGGATTTATCTCCGTGGTAACACTTTAAATAAGAACTACGGATCCGAAAAGTATTCACTTGCAATCGCGGTACAGTCGATCATCGTTGTCCCCACGCGGTATCCAATTTTATTATTCTTCCGTCTACATTAGTTGAAAGTCGAGACACAAATAAAAACCGAAATGAATTCCTTTGTTTTCATCACACTAGTGACATTGTCGGTGGTTCTATCGAGCTCGGCCTACTACTACAACAGGTATTCACCGATTACGCTATGCATGAAGAGCGACTACTCGTGGTGCACCAACGTGACTTATCCCAACGGCTGCGTCAACATGGACACGGTGGTCTTGAACACCACCGGAAACTCCAACGTCAATGGAAACTCATCCACTTACGCGACAACCGCGTTCAAGACCATCGAGTCAGTGATAGTGAACGACATCGACAGCACTGAGGACAAGTGCATCGTGTTGTTTGACACTTACAACTGCCAAGGCCGTAGCCTGGTGCTCAATGGCTCCAAACACCCTTCAGCCGATCTCGCCGATTACAAGTTCGCTAACTTGGCAGAGTCCTACAGACAGTGCACCGATCGACTGCTCACTTGGCTCCGGGACAACTAGGTAACAACTAGGTAAATGGTATAATACGGTGACGACAAATCCAACGAGGCTTATCATCAGATGTATTAAAAATGAATCTATTTAATTTATGTAATGAAATTAATCAAATAATAAATCATTAATCTAAAAATGTTCACTATATTATATTATGATGTGTATTTTATTTAAATATAAATATAATGTTTATACAAATGTATAATAGACCATTCAAGATGACTCCGTAATAGGTCGTATTATAGCAATATAAAGTTCAACTCACAAATCACTTCTTCAGTGACCTTACAACGAGTCTAAAGACAACGTAGCCAACGGAAAATTTTAGCAATACTAATATGTTTTCCGCATGTAAATGTTATGCGTCTTGAAAGTTTCAGTGTATCTTGCTATTGTGTTCTCTTTAAAATAAAAGTGTGATGGATAATATGTTATGTTTAATATTAACTTTACAACCTGTAAAAAAGTCCATGATTCATTACAGCGATTTAGTAAATTAAATTTAGAATAGATAAAATTTTTGTTTTTGACTATTTGAATTACTTGGTGATTTATTATTTTGTCTATTATAACATTTATATGTCCGTATTAATGACTAATAATGTTAACAGCTTAATGAGTTCATAAGTTATTTTTTATTACCCCGTTGTTTTCATTAATGAATCATTCTAAATCATAATCAATTAATCTCCCTGTAACGACGATTCTAACTAATTACTAACATAGCAGTAGTTATCGGTTTGTCTGTTACCTACCAAAACAGCGGTATACCAATATGAAAAAAAATATATCTATATTTTAGAATACCGGTGACTCACTGCAGATATACCGAAAATACATCATATACTCTAACGTAGGCACTTTTGGAAAAATATTTTTTAAATAATATTTTTATAATACGCATTAGATATGACAAGCATTGTTGACATTAAACGAATATAGGCAATGATATTAGCGTCAAAAAATGTACGTTAACGACTGGTCGATAACGATATTTCTGAAAAAATGTCATTGTTTATATACCATATTATACGAGTTTTAAGCATGATGCGGATTAGCTTCCAAGCGATTTATTGAAATTTATTTTCGGAAACCTGTGTATTTCTACAATTTACAATCAGAATTTGTCGGGCTCTTAGTTTAAGAGTTATAACCTTTTGAAGTTTGCGGTCTTGCATTTTCCCACCTAATATCACAACACGAAAAGTAAACACGATAGGTAATTTCTGATTCCACTAAAATGTTAAGAACGAAAAACCAAACATTTTGAAAAAAAAAAATGTGTGCTTGCCTATTGTATGATATATTATGGTTTATACTATATGCATATAATATATTATATTGGTGTAATATTATGTACTATATGAACAAGGAAATAAAACTGGGGAACAAGTAAATCGCTTGTACCTTAATAATGGCCTACATCATTCGTCAACTCTTTTTATGTTTTGCAACCGGTAACTGAGTTCCGGTATTTCACGATAAAAAACGACTCTACTTTTTTACTAAGCTTTCTGGATACTCTATATTGCTATAGTGATATGGCGAGAACGACAGTTTTTGTTGTATATTGTTATAGTTATACCTACTGTATAATAATGTATATAAATCATGTCTATCCGATTTGTATAAATATAGGCTGTAGGCTGTAGCTGATCATCAACGGTTCGTCAAATATCTAATGTATAAATATTGTTATATGCTCGACTATAATAGACCATTTGCAGTTAAGTAGATCCAATAGTTCGAAAGAATCCATAGATTTGATGATCGTTTTTTTTATTCGAACGAATCGCATGAATGGCAGAGGTCGTCTGGAAGTTTCACCACTGGTGTAAGTGAAACCAGCAGTATAGTAGTACTGTAGTAGCAACAGTTAGATCGAGAGTGGTGGCGCGATCAGACGATGGACTGGAAAAGATTCTGAAAGGTAATCAATTTATAGAAACCGATAGTGAGGAATGCATCACTGATCGATGTCAGTATTCCATTGCAAACGTGAAGAACAGACAAACAAACGCGGTGCAAATACAGATCGTCGTGATCCGTTTCAAGATCAAGGTGTATATTATTGCAAAAAATCAAACTCGTGAATCGCAAGTATGATGAGAACGCAAACAACCCGGATTACGTTTTATATCACACCGTGTCTAAAACAACAGGTTTTTAAATTGGTGACACCGAATATTACGACAAAATCGTTAAAGCCGATAAAATTAAAAATATATCTATACTGTGTGTGTTTGGGGAATGCGAAATTATATAATACGTGGATATAATATCCGGTTTGCCAGACTAAAATTTGGGATATAAACCATTCAGAATGATCATTCATATGTATATTTTGTAACGCCTTCTATTCATGATAATACATTTTTGGGTGTACGGCCGTAAGGGTATAAAGCTGTATGATATTCAATACCACAACATTGTATATGTATTATACTAAAGGTGGAAATTAGTACTAAACCACAAGATTTACATAAGCTGTTAGGTAGGTACATCGTGTAGTTGGAATGCCCTGGTTAGAAAATAGTCAAAAATCAAACTATTCAAAACCATAATGCTCCATCTATTATCATATTTTATCATAGTATACTTATGTTATACAATATTAATAAATAGGAACAAGCCCGGCGTGGCATAAATGAAAACATATTTTATTTTGTATACAAAATATTCTTATAAATAATAGATTTATAGTCATATCCATATCTATATTTTTCAATAGCAAAGCAGGAATTATAGAGGTTTATACGTAACTGTCGTTGTCAGTCTCGGTATAAAATATTGTGTATTCACATCGAGTCAGTCATTATAATGGTATATAATTATACGTTAGTAAACTATTATTACCATTCGTGTAGTCACACAAAACGTCTATATTATAGTGTAAATATTGAAAAAATAAATATTATATATATGTATTTTATTTTATTTCGGCTTTTACCTAGTAGCCTTGAATGCTTGAAAATAAAAAAAATATTTTATAAACAAATAGCAATATTTATAGCTGGGGGCTTACAGGTCTCAACACAATGCTGTGGTTAAATATTTTGTAAGATTTTTAAATGAACTTTAGGAAGCTTGATCTTGAATATAATAATTTTGAAAATGTCTTAACTGCACTATTTAAGTAAAGACACAATGTATTATTAAATATCACACATGAATATTCAACTAAATATAAAGAAAATGTTGATAAGAAAATGCCCGAGTATAATAAACAGTTTGGTGCAAAAAGTGCAATTTCTATGGCTATTTATAATTTATGTACGATTATTAATATAAATTTATTTAAATTTTATGATATAAGACATCTTAAGTTATACTTACAACATGTATATTTAAAATATATTGAAATATTGTTATATTAGATATATTATCAATAGTATAAATTACTAGACAAATGTTGTAAACTCTCTTATTCAAGTCCTCTGCCACCTGCTCAGATTATTGGAGGTTTGCAAATTATTATTCATTAAGCCTGTGTCTTTATTTATTTTATTTTATTCCTCATAATTGTATGTATATATAATATAAGATAGGTACTATACCTATTCACTGTACTATTATGCATTTGTGGTGTATCCGAAAAAACTGTGTACGCTCTATAATTCAATTACCTACAATCCTCAGCTCCTTATACATATTTTAGAACTCTGTCCGATGGAGGTTTATGACCCAATAGTCTAGTTTCATGACCCACAAACAGAATTCAAAAATATGTACAGGGAACTGAGTAATGTGGGTAATTAAATTATACAGTGTACCCTGTTTTCGCTGACACATGATGTATATTATTATTATTTTAGCCTTTAGGTAAATGTAATATATGCAATTAAAATGCGTTGCAAGTGCACCCATATAGACATATTATGACCCCACAAGTCATGGTTCGAATTTTACTTCATGTCATTGGACGGAACTATGGATACACTTCCAGTGTACTCTATATGCATATTTTTTCTTAAGTCCATTGGTTATTGTTACTATTGTTATGTGATAATGGATTTTCAAAGAATTTATGTAAGCCATTTGGCAAACCAACTGCATGAATAAAAATTAAAATGTTTTTAAATTTATTTTGCCATTTTCATTTTTCAACCTTTCCTTATTATAACAGTGCGACATATATTTTACTAAAATTATTACGTTTTTGATCTTATCTTACGTATAATATTACTGGTTGTAATTTCATGCAAATTAATGGTCAATTGTTTCCATGACAACATTATAAACGCGTCACTTTTCAATATCACGATATAAACTCGTTTAAATGAGTTCCTTAGACCTTAACCACGTTTATAGATTAATTGTCGCAAAAAACATTTAAAATGTAAATAATATGACGTTGCATATCTAATAGCTTTTACTATTTAATCGTAGACTGTAGGAGTCTGTAACCTGAATAGAGAAACTTTTGCGAATTAAAAATTAATTATCTTGTAAATATCTCTGTTAAATTTGCAATCATGTTTGGTATGAAAAAGTTCTCTATAAGTAATAACATATTTTCAAAACATAATAAGACATACAATATCTCAATAAATTATACTAATATAAATATTAGCCAAAGATTCATTGACTATTTAGGACCTACTTTTTTCAATTCAATACCTTTCGATATAAAAAAAAAACTATAAGATCTAATCACAAATCGAATCACAAAATTGCTATTTCTTATTGGCTTCTATAAGAACTATAATTTTTACCATGACGTAATGACTTCTACGTATATATAATTAATATAATATAATTTTATGATTAGTTTAATAACTATATTTAAATTTAAATTTAAGTAATTAATAATTATATTTATAATTTATTTTTTTCCCCTGTATGTGTACCTACATAATATGTAGTCACTACATATTTATATTTATTAATATTTAATAATCGACATGCTACTGTAATATTTATATAATTTAAGTTTGTATAACATGTAACCCTCTACTACGAACACAAGCTCTGGATAGTAGATATAACAATATTTATGTTTAAAT